AGTGACACAAATAATTACTTTTACGTTCTATTTAGGGGTCGAAGTTTCCAAGCTGCATAAAAAACCTGGACTGTACTCGACTTACCTTGTTTTTTATTATTAGTATTATTATTTATATGCGCTATTCATTTCGTTTCGAAAAAAATTTCATTTCATTCTGCATAAAATTAATCGACGAATCATGTTAATTTTGAGTTGCTTTAATGCTGTGTGCTTGCATGCGACATAATACAGAAATCGACGGTAAAACAGTTGTCTACATAAAACCAGGAACTGCGCTGTCATCGTTGCGTTGCAAAGTATATGCATGCAGACAAAAAACCAATTACGCCGATAGCGCCGCCACACAGTGGCAGGGTGCTGAGGCCAGACATTCCATTAGTCAACCTGTCTTGCTCCTTGTAGTAGAATTTCACAAATCCATCCTATAAACAGCAAAGTGAAAACATTTCATCTACGAAAGACCGTACCAAATGCAAATAATTGATATGTAGACTAAAAAAGTGTTTGCGCAAAGAAAATAAGCGTTTTCCTACTTTTTATTGTACATACGTACTACTGGTGATTATGAAAACATCGATCAAATTTGAGACGATCCTGACACATATCTTTATCATTAAAGCCAATCTTTTTATTGTAATATAAGAATACGAAAAATAGAGCTGGTCTAAAGATAATAGATTATAACTATAGATAATATGATTATAAATGTCTATATGCATCATGCTCTTATTTATTATCATAGCTATTAGATGATAGTCTAAACTGGCGACCACAGGACCGTGCAATGGCTTACTGACCTCATGCGGTCACCACAGTGGAAATATTCGAAATTCAAGACTGTGACAAAAGTTTCCTAATGTGGTCACAGACATTGCTACGTAACACAAGAGGTTAAATCAGATGCCTGATGCCGACGCATATTTAATTCGAAAGATTCATGCCGTTATCTCAGAACTGCGCGGTGACACGGACCACCACCAGGATACACATTCCACTTTGGGGCATCCCTGATTGTAGTTGCTTACGGGGCATTAAGATAAAGCACAGTTCCCTCGTATTTCATCACCTGCAGCGCTAGATATGTCACGCTCTGTTCGCTAAACCAACGTCATGTTCCTTTCGGGAGCCACTACTCCTTATACATTACCACATACATGTGAAAACATGGGGGCCATACGTCGAAGAACTGACGCCAAACTGCGCCATGAACAAAATTCAGTGCCTACTGCATCATCTACCCACTCCTAGGCATTTGCCA